AGGAAGGAAGGAAGGAAGGAAGGAAGGAAGGAAGGAAGGAAGGAAGGAAGGAAGGAAGGGTCTGTCCAACCCCAACACCCACTCACCACAAAACTTATGGGCAGATTTAATTCTCCCTTTATTCCCAGTGGAAAGGGAAGCTCTCTTACACACTCTCCCATGGACTTTCATTCTCTTTTCCTAATGTTCTCAATGGCTTTATCACCATCAACCATCCTTGCTGCAAGTTTCTTTAAAGTGGAATGGGATAACCTTCCAGACTCTGGGGGATCAGAGAAATGCCTGTGGATGAAACTGTGAGCTGCTAAATTAACAGGACTAAATTAACACCATTCTTTGCTAACAGTGGAAAAACAGTTTTTCCATCAGCAGTTTTTAAGGTACCCTACAAGAAAATATGTACCTCCATGTCCCTGGATTCTACTTACTGTCAAATAAGACTCTGAACTTATGACTATTGGGATCCATGTGTGTGTCTCATGGGGAGCTTGGACCTCAGCCTGAGTGTTTGCTACCACTCGAACTGTGTCCAAATCAGTTTCATTTTTGCACCGTCTGCACACTGAGGTTCTGAGTCACACATGGAGGTCCTACAAATAACAGCATCTGTTTTAGTTCCTGTCCTGGGGCTGGACATCTGCTCAGCTCCTGAGACAACACACAGCCCTTGGCAGCCTCAGCTTTCCCCCTCCCTGCCCACTATGCTGCCTAATATTCCCTGCATGCCAGTCCCTGCCTTCCTCAAATGCTGCTTGGTGGAGAACCCTTGGTGTCCACTGCTGGGGATTTGGGGATGTGAGGATGAGGTGACATCCAGGGAGCTGGTAGCGTTCTTGCAGGGCCACTGTCCTATGTTACAGTGTAAAGATGTGCCCAAAGGTATGTATTCTATCACCATCTTCATGAACTGTTGAAACCAGGAGGGGCAGTGTTTTCCTTGCCTCCTTCCCCCGGACTATCTCCTGTTAATGGGCCCACCATGACTCATAGGTAACTCCCTCGGAGCCATTTCTGTGTCATGGGCAATCAAGAACTCACTCCCTGTCTCATAGAATGACATCAGCCATTGTGAGATGCTCCACCCAGGGGGGAGGAACCAAGCATCCTCACCTGGATATGATCTGGGCTTTGGGACAGAACAAGCAGCTCTTACCCACTGGTTTCCAGAGGACAGGAGCTACCAGACCTTTCTACAGGATCACTACTTCAACATGATCACTTCCTCTGGACTGCTACCACCACCCTAACTAGCAGAGTGTCAGGTTGTATTCTGACTCTGTCAGTGCTTTTCTTTTGTACTACTGCATGTATTTTTATCTTTTTTCCTATTAAATTGTACTTCTGACTTGGAGTCTCTCACTGGTTTTGCTTTCAAACCAGTACAGCCACATACAGTCCTTTTTCTGCTCCAGCCACTTCCCCTCAGGAGGGATACCAGCATCTCTCACCTGTACTGTTCATTGGCTTTCAGCTTCCCATTGCAGGTTGCCCTGGACTGGCCACACTCCTCTGTTCCCACTGGCACCCTCCAGGTTTCGGGGGAGCTCCTCTGATGGAAGGGGTTGGGTATGAGCACTGCCAGGTAGGAGTCCTCTGTCCCATAGTAGTGGTCGTACCATGTGCTAGACATGATCTCCTGGGTGGGCCTCAGCACTGCAGGGGAATGTGCAAGGTGACAGTGATAGTCCCAAAGTGACATCCAGGGGCCCTGCTGCCCTCTGGGGAGCCTGGGCACAAAGGGCACCACAGCCTGGGACATGCAGGGACACTTACATGACTCATTAGTGGTGGCAATGACACCATAGTACTGGATCTGGCCATTCTCCTCACTGAACAGCTCGGGTGAAATGACCACCGTGGAACTGGCCTCCACTGGGAACACGTCTGCACGCAGGGGAGGGGGCAGGGCTGCAAGAGGAACCAGCAAGCACAGCCTCACAGCGTGTCCCTGCTCCTAAAGCCCCCTTTGCTCAGCCTGCCACTGCTCCCAGCAGCACCAACCCACAGCAGGCAGTGCAGCCACGTGGGGCTCACAGGCACCTCAGAGTCCCCAGCTCCAACCAGCACCACTGGGTGTTTTGTCTGGGGTCTGTGGCAGGGCTGTGGTGTTGGGAAGGATGAATTAGGGAAACCTTATAAATACAAGTGCTTAGCAAAATACTTTGAGAATATGGAAAATAGAAGCGAAATAGAAATGGTAGCAATTTTCGACTGTGTAGCTGAAAGCAACTGAATGCCTGAAGGCCCCTTTGTTTAGATAAAGTTAGATGCGCAAATACCAAGAAGCAAACAGAAATCCTCCCTAGGCACGGCAGGAAGGGTCCCAGATAAAATGTAGAGATAAGAAAAGCAGTAAAACTTGGTAATATAGTGATTCCTAGAGGTTGCATGCAAATGTTAGAGAATTTGTATCTTGTATTAGATTGCTTAGTGGAAATTAGAATATTCAACATAGAAGAAGATTTAATGTATTGTAAATGGGAAAATCTCTCTCTTATGCTCTTACTCTCTTTGATCTTACTTTCTTAAGCTCTCTTCTTTTACTCTCACTCTATCCCTTTTTCCACCCTGCTCTGAGCTGTGGCTGCAGTTCCTGGCAGGGCCTTATATAAACCCACACCCTACGAAATAAACTGCAAACTTTAAGACCAGAATAAAGAAAGCGCCTGAGTTTGTCCCGACCGTCCCAAGGCAGAGATTCCTACACTGTGGGATAGGAGGGGACTCACGCTCCACTGCTGTGCTGCAGAGCACAGTCACAGCCTGGCTCCTCAGTGTGTTCATGCCCACAGTGCTCACGACGATTTGGTAGGAAGAGTTTGGCTCCAGCCCCTCCAGACTGGCCTCGCTTGAAGGGATGCTCATGGTATGCCTGAAGGTGGAGGGTCCTTCAGAAAGCCTCTCTGTCAGCACCTCATAAGCCTCCACATCTCCAGGAGAGCTCGTCCAGTTCAGGTACAGGCTCCTTGACTCTGGTAGGCACTGCACATCCTTCACTGGATTTGGCTCTGCAAAGGAGATAAGGCAGATCAGAGAAACCCCAACTTCTCACTGCATCAGAGAAATCCCAACCTCTGCCCTGTCAGCCCCTGCTCCTGAGGCCAGTGAGATGAGCAGAGCCAGGTACTTGCCAGCTGGGAGTCTGCTGTGCCATGGGCCACAGGACAATGTGAATGGGCAGGGCCTGAGCTCAGGTCTTACAGAAGACATCGAGGAGTGGAGATCGGCAAAGCCTGCTCTGCTTCCCAGGTAGCCAGGAGATCTCTGGTGGGGCTAGCTTAGGGAGCCAATGGCTACCAGAGGGTCACCTTGCTGGGTTTTCCTATCTCCCACAAGACTTCCCATGCCTCTGTTGACACTCAAGGGTCGATCCAGAGTTGAGGCCACCCAGGTGTTTGTCCCCACTCCAGCCTGCCCTGCTCCCTCCTCATGACAGTGTGTACCCACCCATGGGCACTGCCAAGGGCTTGGTGCTGCTCCAGTAGGGCCCAGCCACGCAGCTCAAGGACACAGAGTAGTTCCTGCCTGGGATCAGCCCCTGGAGGAGGTGCTGGACTTGTCCCCTGCCCAGGGAGTGCCTCCAGGGCAGTGAGCTGTTCCGGGGGTCCCGCAGCCACAGCTGGCAGTCGTCCTGCTGTCCAGAGACACTGGCCCAGGAGATGAGCATCGTGTTGTTCCCTTCAGCCACCACCGAGAGATTCTGGGGAACTGAGGGGGCTACAACAAAAACCACACCGGAAGAGTTACTGGTATGCATGTGCTGTCTTCTATTCTAGAGACACAAGTAGGAGATGGGTGACACAAGGAGATTGCACATGTTCAGTGATAACATTCCTGCAGCTGCTGTTTGCCAGAAATGACCTTTAAATGGCAGCTGAAGGACATACAGAGTGAGGAGTGTGAGGAGATGGATTCTTCTTCCTGCTAATTAGGAAGTTTCATTAGAGACCTGCCCGAAGGGCTCTGCACATGATTCCCTGCACCCTGCCAGGGGATGGCTGAGCGTGGGAGCAGGGACCGTTGGATTCCCCAGGCAAAGTGCAGGGACTGTGGGGACAAGCACATGAAAAGGCTTATTGTGCTTATCTGCATTTCCACATTCCATAAAAAGAAAAAAAAAAAAAAAACCCATCCTCCCCTTATACTCCATGCCAGCAATTCTCTGAGTGCCTGGAAAAAAGGCAGTAGGAATGGTGGGATGTCCCCCAGGCTGTGGGTGTCATCTACCAGGGCAGCACTACTGCCATGGGATCCCCTGCTCTTGTTCAGTCACCCCTGGAGGAGCCAGACTTCAACCAGTGGGGCCATGGGCCAGAGGCTGCCTCCTGAACAGCATTTGTGGCTGCCAGGCCCTCCCACAGGCAGCAGGACTGCCCTGCCCGACTCTCCCATCCACCAGGGCTTGCCCAGCCCATGATCCTATTGCTACAATGGTACATCCCATCCCATCCCTGGAAATACTCAAGGTCAGGTTAGACAGGGCTCTGAGCAACCTGATCTAGATGAAGATGTCCCTGCCACTAGCAAGGGGGTTGCACCAGATGGCCTTTAAAAGGTCCCTTCCAACCCAAACCATTCTCTGACCCTACAGCTCCCACACAGAGGTGCTGGCTGAGTCTCTGCCCCTTCCCACTGCAGGTGCTGAGCCCACCCAGATGGGAAGGCTGAGCCTCGTTCAAGGTGCAGAATTTCCAGCTCTGACACTTACTTGTCCAGTCACTGATGTTCCCTGCAGAGGCTGCATAGGGCCCTGCCATGGCCACCACTTCCAGCAGGTATTTTTGTCCTGGAGCCAGGCCAGAAAAGGTAAATTTGCTGGTGCCTTTCCCAACAGAGACATTGGCTGCCACAATGCCTGACCCCGAGTGATACAGGAGGAGCCTGTAACTGTCTTGTCCTTGGGGTTCAGCTCTCCAGGATGCACTCAGTCTGTTGGGGTACCCCTGGTTCGTCATGTACACGTTACGGGGTGCCAAGGGGTCTGCCAAGACAAGACAGGAGACACGTCAACCAAGGGCCCAAGGACTGCCTGGGTCTCTTGGTGCCATCAGAAGGGATGCACCACACTTAGCCTCGACTGTGTGGCTCCACCCACCAGCCCAGAGGCAGCTCAAAGCTTCTGCGAACTTCTGTGTGCTTGTCCAAGCAGGGACAGCCCTGTCCCAGATGAAGTGAGACACCTGGGGAGGGGTGAGGAGGGAACACAAAGCCAGCTAGAGGACAGGGAAAGGTGAACACCCTGCCTGCTGCTCCCTCCTCCGTGGCTCTGGAGCTCCAGCTGCCCTCACCCAGGCTGGTGGAGCACATGATGAGAGTGGGCAGAGCCCTGCTCAGTGTCATGGCAGGGCTTGGGGTCTGCTATGAAGGTCAGCAGGGCCATGTTCTTGGCCATGAGCTTTGGTGACTGCCCAGCAAGACACACATCCCCTAGAAAAGGTACTCACATGTCCAGTTGCTGACATTCCCTGCAGGTGCCCTGCAGGACCCAGCCACAGATGCCACCTCCAGCAGGTATTTGCTTCCTGGGGCCAGCCCCGTGAAGGTGAAGTTGTGGGTGTCTCTCCCAAGCGAGGCTGTAGCTGCCACAGTGCCCAGTGGTGCATGGTACAGGGTCA